AACAGGGCTAGCCCAAAAAGTTATTGTATAACTTCTTGTTGTATAACTTCTTACTGTATTCATGTTTATTTTGCCAAAGACTTGGTGTCATATTTTCTCCAGCGGTAAAGCCTGAAAAGTTAGGACTGGTATATTTATTCTATCTGGTCATTCCTCCTGGAAGGCAATTTCCCTCCCTCTGCCCTGTGTTCAAGCCATCACCAGCATCCTGCTGCTTCATCTTTACAAAGCAATGCTTCTGACAACCATCTCCTCCTGCCTATGATTGCTGCCATTTCCGTTTGGCCCTCTCAGAACCTCAGGTTGAGACTGTTAGAATCACTTCCCAACTGATCTTCAGTCTCCATCTTTCACACAGCTGTCATATCCATCTTGTTAAAATCATTCTCATCATGTCACTTGCCTGCTCAAATACCTTCAATGGCTCCTAGCAGCCCAAATTCTACGCCAGCGGTGCACGGTCCTTTACTGTGCACCTCAATTAGAACTCTGAACCTTCCTCTGGTCCCCATCCCACCTAGACCCTTGGTTCCTCCAAACAGCTGGATATTCAAACCTTCCTCACCACCAGCCTTGTCTAAGCATTTTCCTTGCCTGGAAAGTCCTGCACTACACTGAATTCTACTGATGCTTCCCTGTCTAGAGTGAATTCCCACTCTTCAACCTCAGGCAAGTCTTCCCTCACATCTAGTACCCTGGCCTTTTCTTCTTCATACTGAACCCAAATGTGCACTTAGTTCCCTCTCTTTTGCTGGGGATGTGACTAACTCATCTATAAATGCTCTCTGCTAGGGACATGCCTGCCCTACTCCCCACAGCCTTTGGCACTGTGCTGGGACAGAGAAAGCATTCAATAAGTTTGTGCTGGTTGACTGGTGGTGGATGCCCTGGTTCAGGCTGTTGCCCTGTGGCCCAGGGCACCTTGGTCTGGTCAGCTCTGTGGCTCCCAGTATATCTTAGCTGGGTGGCGAGCTACCTTCTTTCTATTTCTGCTTGGTTTTTTAGAAAATCTCTAGGGCAAGGAATCCCTCAGCCTCCTTTCCTCCACCAAAGGGAAGGAAAGGACACGGTAGATCTCTGAGCAGGTGGTGATACTGTGCTTCTCTAGGCCTCCTGAGAATCCACTTCACAAGACAAGTGGGACCACAGAGAGGACAGAGAAGAAGGCATTAAAGGGCTAAGTGTCCTCTTTGTACGTGTCTCATGCCTGTGCCAACCCCAGTGTGTCTCCCCTTTTCTGTGCACAGAGGGACTGGCCCTCTGTGTGGCTCATCAGCCCTGGACCACAGGAGCAGCTGCACAGTAATCTTAAAGGCTGGCAGAATGATACAGGTACCCAAGGGAATGAGGAAGTGTCCTATAAGCCAAAAGGCTTCTGCTCATCTATGGAAAGTCAGTCTCTTCCTTCATGACTTCTCTGGTGGAATCTGCTCCTATCCTCTAGAGAAAGGTCTCTATTTCTCTTGAACACAGACTGCTTTTTCATCTTGGCTTCTAACTTGCCATCTAGGTAAATTCTTATGGCTCCTAGAGGGAAGAGATGAACAACGTTTTGTAAGCCAGGCCTTCCAGCTGCTTTGTGTATGGTATCTTGTATACTATATAAGGTTTTTTTTTTCTTTCTCTAAACCCTTCTTGTATAGATGAGAAAACTGAGGTTCAGAGAGATTAAACTGACCTCATCTAGTACCTCGCTTTCCTCTTCAGATCCTGCCAGCTTCAGAATCTTACACAGCTGGTGCTCAGGACATAATGGTGTCACACATGGACCAATGAATATGTAAACTCAGCTCAGGTGGAGGGCCAAGATTGGCAGGGTGGAAGAGCTTTGTAGCCACAGCAGGAACAGAAGGTCCAAGGTCAGGGTGCCCCAGTCAAGTGAGCTGGTTTTCCCATGGTCCTTATGATGACTGGGTGGTCCTGAGTCCCTGGATGGTCTCAGCCACTCACCTCCCTTTACCAGAATTCACATCCCGGTCTCCATGGGAACTCAGTGGGACCCGCCCGAGGTGTCCATGGCTGCTTTCCCAGACCCTTCAGTGGTTGGGGTGGGGAAGGTGAACTTTCTTTTTGCTTTCTTTCTTTCTTTTTTTTTTTAGGTCCGGTCATGGGGCCTGAACTCTGGGCCTGGGCACTGTCCCTCATCTCTTCAGCTCAAGACTAGCGCTCTACCACTTGAGCCACAGCACCACTTCTGGCTTTTTTCTTTTTGCTTATGTGGTGTGGTGCTAAGGAATCGAACCCAGGGCCTCGAGCATGCAAAGCAAGCGCTCTACCACTGAGGCAGGAAGGTGAAGTTTCTATGCCTCAGCATTTTCCTTATCCCTAAAAGGAAATTATATATATATATATATATTAATAACTACAATATACTGATATATTATGTACTATATAAAGAATAAACATAAGCAAATGTACATATATACACATATATGGGGAAAGAGGGGAGAGGAGAGGGAAAAAGAAAGAGAGAGGGAGGGATGTGTTGAGCAACAATTTTAGAGTATGTAGGGTGTCCTTCGTGGAGATGGCTTGCATGAATACAAATGGAGGTAGGCAGTACTTGGACCATCAGAAAGCACCGGAAATAGGGGAGAGAAGGAGAAAGGGGTGTGTATGAGTGTGCCTAATGCCTCTGATTGTTGGTATTGCATTTCATTTTTTTTTAAGCTTACATTTGCCTAAGGCCCATTCCTTAAGTTTCAGTTTTTGGAAAGACTTGTCGAAGGTACAGACTTTTCCTGGAGCAAATTCTCCACTCCAGGAGGGGCGGGGGAGGGACGGGAGCCAAGGCCCCCAGGGCTCACCCCGGGCCAGGGGACAGGCACAGGTCCCTCGGGCCGGGAGAATCCGCCTTCCCGCCTAAATCCACAAGATGGAAGGTGCTCCCTCTAGCTGGCTTTCCCACTGGCGAACATGGCTGGGGTTGAGTGACCCCTCCCTTCAGGCTAAGTCCATTCCTAGCGTTTGCACCACTCCGGAGATTTGTGATTTAAACACGCGTGTTAGAAGGCGCGCCCCACTACACCCTGGATGCAGCCCAGATGCGGTTTGGGGGTAGCTCCTGAAGTTTATGAGGCTCTGCGCCTGCCCCGCCCCGCACCTTGTGTGCGCGCGGAACTGCGGGCAAGGAATGTGTGCGTGAAAGGCGAGGAACGCGGCAGAGGGTGTGTCCGGAGCGAGCGTGGAATCGGGGTGCGCGGAAGCGCCCCGGGGCTGCGACTCCACCCCTCTCCTCGGTCTGGTCTCGCCAGAACGTGTCAGCAATCTCGTTTCTCCTTCAACCTTTTCCCACCCAGACGCCCCCTTTTCGGTGCTTCCGGGCGTGCACGGTAAATTCCGTGACTGAACCGCACGCGGAGAGGCGGGCCCACCGACAGATGGAACCTTCGCCCCCTTCCCGGCTGGGGGAGGCGGTCCTAGAGCTGCCAGCTGCTAGGGACCATCTCCTGGAGAGCTCGGCCCGCCTCTGCGCACGTGGGGAGGGGGAGGAGGGTGTGGGGTAGCGCTGAACCCCACCCCTGGGTCGATCTTGGGGCGCTTCAGCCTGGATAGGGAGCAGGTACCCGCCCGATCCTTCCCGGACCATCCAGCAGGTTCTCTTGGGGCCTGGGGGAGGTCAGGTCGCCCACACAGCCGTGTTCTCAGGGGTCCCCGGGACGGGGAGACAATCGAGGAAGGGAATTCTCAAGGTCCGTGAGGCTGGGAGCGTGCAGGGCGCAAACGCCTCGCGGATGTGCAGGGAAAGTTCTGGAGCTACGCGTGGAGAGCACGCGCGGGGCTGGACTGGGGCAGGCAGGCTGCGGGGCATCGGGGCGTCCATGGCACAAACCCGAGACTCTGCTTGGGCTAGCAGGCCGCGGGTGGAGCCCCCGTCCTCCCTCCTGGGCTCGGTCAACAGCTCAGGATTTTCCAAGCGCTCTACCGCCTTGTGCCACCGTATGGCTCTGGCTCCGGAGACCCCCCCCCCCGCGCCCTCCAGCCTCACCCAGGCCTCCGAGACCCCGCGGCTCGGGGACCGAGGCTGGGGGACTCGGAGGACGCACCCCCTCTCCTCGCGGGGAGCCCTGGGTTGGAGCCTCAGCTGGGGGAAGCCGGTCGGTTCTTGGGCAAAGCAGAGCAGGTCAGTCCCGAGAAGGGCAAGGCGGCTGAGCCGAGGGAGCCGGGCGGCAGAGCCGTCCC